TCCTCAGCACGCATTAAATACACCAACGAACATGTTACATATGTTTAAGAAACCCACATCCTTCCATCACATAAAAAGAAGAAAAGCAAAAAGACACTCCCATGAGTGGCCCTTGTGAGCTAATACAGCATTACAAAGACAGGAAATTCATGTGCAGGATTGTCTCATCTGTATGTCTTCTTCTTAACAACCAGATGTGTCCATTAAAGTGTGTAGCTCTGAAGTAAGCAGGACTGTAAGCCACAGACATTGAGGAGGACGTATTGTTCCCAATATCTATGGTTTTATCAGTTCTTCTCAGCCCTGGACATGTGGTTAGGATAGTAAATGCAGAAATTGTATTTTAAATATAAACATCATGTTTACAGCAGCTGGAGGAACTGAGGTCATTTGATTGTTTTGTTAGTGTCACATGGACAGTGTCGCTTATTGCCACGTGTCTTGTCTTGGGTATTGCCCTGCTTTGTTATTTTAAATTATTGAGCACTTTCAAATTATTGGATTGATAGCCTACCTGGACATCTCATAAATCACCTTTAAGTAATTTGAGCCTATGTAACCCACCATAAAACAATGTATTTTTATCACATCTAGCATTTCGTATGAAGCTTTCACAAACAACAAGCACTTAGTTTGTTTAAACTTTCATAATATCCTTCTAGATTACATTTATAGGCTATTTCTAAAATGTAAATTTGTTTGCCAGAATAGTAAGGTAATGATCTGATCACCCACAAAATAATCTCAAAATAATCAGTCATTTAGTCTTGTGGTTAGTAACACTTTATTCCGATAGACCACTTTAGACATTCTAAGTAACTTTGCAACCACAAGTCAACTAACTGTCATTAATAGACTGTCTGCTTAAGTTCTGCTAACACTTTATTTTGATACTCTCTCCCGAAAAACATGCTACTGACTATAACTAACTTGGCAACCACACGTCAACCAACTGTCATTAGAGTATTAATAGACTGTCCGCTTAAGTTCTGCTAACACTTTATTTTGATACTCTCTCCCGACAGACATTCTACTGACTATAACGAACTTGGCAACCACACGTCAACCAACTGTCATTAGAGAATTAATAGATTGTCTGCTTAATTTCTGCAAACATTTTATTTTGATTCTCCCCTGACAGACATTCTACTGACTATCCACAAGTTTCCTACGCCCCATGAGGCCTTGCGTCAAAAGTGGGCGCGACTTCCGGTTCGAAGTAAACAAAGCGCGACTTATGGACTTGACATGCTTGACGCTCGTTCATTCAACAGTTGACAGTCATTCAAGTTATAGCGATCCAAACTAGCTAACGATGTGGGAACACAACCTCAACGAAATTAAAAAGGGTGAAATAACAGTACCTTTACCCTCCGCAGTAGTTGGTTGGGAGTATTATAATAATCAATACTCATCAAGGCATGGTGACAGACAGTTGTGCAAGCTGACAGACAATTAAAATAAAAAACACACACTTGTGCTTTGGAGTTTATTCAAAATTATAAATGAATGTGCTACTTGAATACATTAACTGGCACATTTGGTATTCTCTCAACTCAGGCTTTGATCCTGAGTTTAGGTGTAACATCAGTAGCGAACAGCCAATCACATGCTGATAGAGTTTATAGAATATTAAGAATTTAAACAAATGTACACAGGAAGATTTTCGTCTTTTGGGAGGTGATGGAAACTAACGTTACAGTCGTTGGCAGGATCACTCTGACTTCATTTTCAGCTTATGTTCAAAACAATCACGTTTAAGCCACTGAATTAGTTTAGTCCGGTTATACATACAACCGCGAACAGCACATGTTGTCCCTGAGCTCCGTAACGACATCTCTCATAAAGATTTGCGTCTTTAAATAGTAAAATAATTCTCCGAAAAACAGCTAGCCTCTTCGCTAACTAACACACAAAATACCATTGGAATGCTACTTCCGCCGCCTTCGAAGAGCCTTTGGTTGCTCTTCGGCAACCAAACAAAGGAAAGTCTGCACCTCCTCGTTTGACCACAGCGTATTCTTCTGAGTTGCCATAATAATAATAGTAGTAAGTTTAGAAACTATCTCTGGCCAAACTATTTAAAAATGGCGGGGATATTCTGGATACTCCATCTGGCACGTGCAATGCTGACACAGTGAGTAGTGACGATTCTCTCTGACCAATCAGCAGTCGGCATTGTTTTCATGTCACATTTCAGTATCGCCTCAGCTCGCCTTAGCTCGCTCAGAACTTTGACGGAGGTGGTACAAAAAAAGTACCCGAAAGCAGGTACAGGTACAACGTTTACACAGTGGAAAACCAAACCAAGATGAGCCGAGTCGAGTCGAGCTGGTACTGTGTAGTGGAAAAGTGCCATAACTAACCCTAACCTACTGTAACAGTCTACTGAAAGTCTACTACACTCTCCTAATACTCTAATGAGAGTTAATTGACATGTAGTTGAAAAGTTACTTATAGTTAGCAAAATGTCTAAAGTGGACAATCGAAAAGTGTAACCTTGTGGTTAAAGGCACAAACAAAAAGCAGAAACCAGGGCATATGGTGAAAATGAAACTACTAAATGTAAAAATATATTACATGCAATATAATGAAACTACCTTTGGGGAAATTATGAGAATGCTGCTGAAAGATTTCTAAAATATTACCCAGCTGGACATAAAGTTCCAGAGAAAGGTTTGTACACATCTACATATTCTGTATTACTTTTGTATTCCTCATTTTAGAATAACAGTAAAGTCATGAGAAAACATAGAAATGGCATTTTCAAAGTGACTAAAATATGTTAAAGGGATAGTTCACTTTGAAATTATTTTTTAAAATGTTTTAGCTTACCTCAAGGGCATCCAAGATGCTGGTGTCTTTGTTTCCACAGCATTTTCAATTTTGATATTTTTCGGTCAAACCGTTCTTGTCTGTCAGTCATATAATGCAGGTTTATGGGGTCCACCTCAAAGAGCATGTAAATGTAAGTACACATTGATGGCCTAAGACACCAAACGAGCGGTTTGTGTGAGAAAACGAATAGTATTTATATAGTTTTTACCTCTTGTAACCACACCCACGTCCCAGTGATCTGAAGACGCCGGAAGGTGTCAGAATCTGCATCTCTTGCGCGGTTGCGAAAAAAACAACGTTGTCTGTTGACATATAGAAATCGCCTTCCATTGTAATTTCCTGTATATCTAAATATGTTTGGATCTTCACAGTGAAGGGTAACGCCTCCGAAATCTCTGTGTAAACAATGAGTGACGTACATGCACGAGAGGTCACTTCCGGGGCTTTTTCCTGGGGCTTGCGCAGACAGAAGCGCCCTCGCCCTCAGAGTACTTGGACGTGGCTGTGGTTACAAGAGGTAAAAAAGATATAAAGTGTCTTAGGCCACCAATGTGTCCAACATTTACGAGTCATTAAGTAATGTTTAATTTGGACTTCTCTGTGCATTCTCTTTGAGGTGGTGACCATAGACCTCCATTATATAACTGGCAGACAAGAACGGTTTGACCTAAAAATATCAAAATTGAAAATACTGTGGAAACAAAGACACCTACATCTTGGATGCCCTTAAGGTAAGCTAAAACATATCAAAAATTAATTTCAAAGTGAACTATCCCTTTTATTAAAACCAAAACTCTCTTATATTTCAGCTTCTCCAAAGTTGCCACTTTTGCACTGTCACAGCTGTGCAAACTCTATGAATTCTCTCAACCAACTTTATGAGACGCCACCTGTGAAGATGTCTGTTGGGGGTAATGGATTAGCCTAATCCATTACTCCAAAAAGCTTTAAGCTTGTGTTTAGCCTAATCAGTAGGCTAAACACAAGCCTGCAACCAAGCTATAGCCTAAACTTAAGGACATTCTGACTGCTTCTTTCACACAGTCTGTGCTTGTTTTACCTTGCAGACTCAGGAATAAACAGACCAAAAGAGTTGGATTTCAAGACCTTACTGACATTAGTGATCTGCTTGTGTTTATTAGCCACTCATTTGAGTGACCTCCTTGCACAATGAGTCTGAAATTTTTGCCTCTGTTTTTTTCTTATTCGGTGGCCCTAATTTCAAAACACCAAGAGAAAAACGCAGAAAACTGAACCCCATCCAAATTTTTTTTAATGATGGACCAAAGTTTCGGAGGCACTGTGTAAACGTAATTGACATAACATAAGGTCGTAGCCCATTTATTTTTTAACGTGTGAATTGTGCAAGGGCCTTCCCCTACTCGATTGTGTATTTTGTTCTCACAAACCCAAAACCTGCAGGAAAATGATGTGTTCCATTCAAATGAGTCAGTGCAGTTGCTTTTAACAAAGGCAGCTCAGCAGCGAGGTTTGAAGTTGTAAATGTGTGCAGGCTACGTGCTGTTATCTGTGGATAGAGGGGCTCAGAGCTCTATTATCTGACACGGGACAGGAGGCTTCTCATCAGCATAAGCACACTGATAACTGCTCTCCAGAACATAATCACCTACTGAACACCGGCCTTCTGAGAATCGCACTTGCACAGACACTGAACTCAGTTTATGTGTGCCATTAATTTCATGTGCTTCATCTCTCCTGAAATATGAGTGTAAATACTTATTTCCCTTAACCTTCCTTGATTCTGTCTGCAAACAATGTTCCACTCAATGTCAACATATAGCTTAGCAGTTTACTACTTTTAAGCATCAACTATGTTTCAATAACATACATTTTTTCCAATACTACTTATTATCATTATACTTTAAACTACTCTTTATTTAATTTCAATATGAATTCATTTTATTTCAAGTATTATTTTTGAGAATTATTTGCTAATTACACTATTAATATTTTATTTAAGCCTAAAAAGCCCTGAGAAAGCCATAGCAGGGATATTTTTGGATAGCAGAATTAATAATATTTATTTAGCCACATTGCTTCATTCTGTTAATTTGGTCGAGTCAAACTTACTGAATTGCAATGCCCTTTCAAAATTCAACTCCACCCACAATCACAACTGTCAGGGGTCTTAAACGTAAGTTTATCACTGATAGAGAGAAAAAGAGAGGGGGACAGAAAGAGGGGGAAAGCGTCACCACCAGCATTAATGCCACTGTGAACTTTATTTTTGTAAATATCTTTTGATTTTAACACTAAGTTCTGGGTTCCTGCCCTCTGTCTATTGCACATGTCAAAGTATTTTTGGACAAACATAAAAGACGACGTATATATTTGCCTCTTTTGGCGACATTAGAAAATTATTTCTGTATCTAATAAATGCTGAAAGGGCACCAAACGGATGGCTGTGACTCAAGCCGTGTTGCCTTCGTTTTCAAACTTCTGCAACGCCTCGGAAAACATGAAGGTATGTTCGTTTCAGTTATTTTATCTTGAACAAACATGGATAAAATGCTGCTTTTTTAAGGTAATCATTAATAATTGTTTTACCACAGTGACTTTGATCTTAAGAAATCACTTACCATGATGACAGATGAATAGGTTTATAATACAAAGTATGCGAGTCAAACCAAACTCACAAACTACATCACCTAAAGAGATATTTTTGTACTGTCATTTTTTTTACATACTTGATTGCACAGTTGGTTAATAATACATGTAAATATCGATTTTAAAATATTTGATGGCTCTAAAGGCTTGGGAGTTTGAAAAGGGCTGTTTGGATCTGGACTGCAAGGATCCACACCAAAGCAACGGCAACTACAAACCTTCACAGTTTTTGACAGATGAAGGCCCTGATGATAGTGAGGGATGCTGGGATATGGAGTTCCTGCTGTCAGATTGGGGTAATGCATCGCCTGAACGGTCCAACTCTCAAAACTACACTTCCCAAAGGCCACCGCCACAGGACCAGGTTCACAGTCCCGATCTTTACCAGGTCCAGGAGCTGAATGGACCGAGGGACCAGACAAGATCAAATAGACACCAAGTGTCTGTCACAAGTTCACTGGCTGAGCTGCTTCCTCATGAAGTGACTTTAAGTTCCTCACTGCCTGAACTATTTAACGGAGGATATTTGGAACAACAGCCGCAAACGGGAAAACCCTTCTCACAGCCAGAAAACCCCCATCAGTTTAGTAGTTTCCCTGTTGCCAATGACCTGGACAGAGAAAATGAGAGAAACGGCATGGGGAAGATGAAGTCGTGGGATTTTGAACACTACCCTCCTCAGCCTGCACCTCTGATACCCTTCAGCAACTCTAAATTTGTCCAAGCGTCAGGGACCGCCATGGACGCGCTGGTCTTTCCTCCACACCATCACTATAACTTCATCCAAAACTACTCGCACCCCAGACTCTACCAGCAACAAGTGAACTACGTCCACAGGCAGCCAACCAACCACTATCTGTCCACACAAACCATGATGCCTGACTCCACAGTGCCCCCTGCAGACCTGGAGGGGAAGCGCATTCGGAGAGGGGCGGTGAAGAGGAAAGCCACGGTACACAGTTGTGAATACCCAGGCTGCCATAAGACTTACACTAAGAGCTCCCATCTCAAAGCACACCTCCGTACACACACAGGTAAACTGAACATACACTATCAATGACAAAACCGCATGCGTCATTATGTCCATGTTTAAGGTATTAACATTATAGAATGGGATGTTTTAACTAAACATCTGCAACAACAAATCGTCCAGTAAATTCACTTCAGTAGAAAATAGCCTGGCCTTTCCAGACTTTTGACTACGGTGTCACATGCAGCTAATTTTATATACATATACATCATAACATCATATCCTGTTGCTGTTATATTCATTGTGGTGCAGCTAATTATATATACATCATCATAACATCATATCCTGTTGCTGTTATATTCATTGTGGTGTCCGAATTTATTTCACATTCTCAGAGCGCTATATAAATGCAGTCCATTTACCAAAGCCTATAGTTCTGACTGAGCTGTAAAGGATCCAATTAAAGCCTTTCAGTTGAGTTTTCTGAAGTAGATTATACCACTACAGACCATTGCGTAAAAATTTGTATTAAATAATGACACTGCAGTCTTTGCAAAGGATTGCACTTGGAAAAATGTGTATAGACATTGGCATCAGAATTTCACAGCGAAATAAACAGAATACGTAGAGGCTGAGACTATGTAGAAATGCAGACCATTTCTTTACCTTCTGCTGTTTTTGATGTCCTCAGGTGAAAAACCGTACCACTGTTCATGGGATGGTTGCGGGTGGAAGTTCGCCCGTTCGGACGAGTTGACAAGACACTTTCGAAAACACACGGGACAGAAGCCATATGAGTGCATGCTCTGCCACAGAGCCTTCAGCCGGTCCGACCACCTGGCATTACACATGAAGAGACATGTGTGAGTGCAGACACAAACAAAACAGAGAAATACAAATGCATACACACAGAGGTTAGTCCATGAGGGCATTTCGGAGGCTTTGAGAGGACCTGTGTTCAGTTGAAGATTGTTTATAATTTATATTAGCACTATGATATGACATGTACACACTGTACATTATGTGAAATAGGAGATAAGTTGGTGAACTTTTTCAATTATTATTCATTTGTAATCATAAGAAGATTTCACACCGATTATTAACAAGCATCAGACTTATTTCCAATCTGGACCCTTTAGCTAAACTGTATGAATTGGGAAACGGTAAATAATTCATTGAAATCCACCTATCAAAAATGGATTACTGTGAAAAGTGGATATAAAAAAGGAAAACAATTCACAAATTAAAATAGTTTACTGGCAGGGCATTGCTGTAATGTTTCATCATTCCTAAAGAAAATTAATTGGAATTAGTTAATGAACATTAAGCAGAAATGTATGTAGCTTAAAGTGTGATTTTTACAGAAAATTATTCAAAAAAATGTATACAGTATGTTGCTGTTCAGTTGTGAGCATTGTATTATTTTATAATTTTGCTTTAGTATTTACATCTAATTTTCTATTTATTGTCTATAGTCATTATTGTGTGGAAGTTCTGTAGCATTTTAAATGTTACCAAAAGTCATAAAAGTCTTTATGTGTAATGGTAATATCGCTATTTATATAACAAAATACCATCAAATATATTTGCTTTTTATATTAACGTTAATGTTTTTGTGAAGCATTTAGTGTTTTACTGAATGATCTATTTATGTGATCTTGTTCAATAATAAAGCAACTGCAACTCTGTCCTTTCTGTACTCTCCTGTAAGTCATTTCCAAACAAACAGATGGCATGGCGCCCGTGAGATACTGGTCCAATGCACTGGATAAATGTGAATCAAAGTAAATACGGGTACATAAGTATAAGTAGACTCGCAATTACCACAATCACCACAAACCATGCACAAACCATGCACACAAACACAGCTAAACAAGATTTACAAGATCTGTTGTCCAACCATAGTAATGCCATATTGGTTTATGGTGTTAAACAGGAGGAATCTGAGATTAAGTAGCCTAAAATAAGCCTGGGTTATGTTTTGAGCGTCTGACACAAGACACATGCCCTTTAAGTGATCACTCACTGAGGGGACATCTGGGGACACAATGCATTATTGTGCCACAAAAGTTAATATCAATTACATTAACAATCAAACAACGATCAAATGTGGATCTTTATTTATTTATTTATTTTTACAATGTATATGGGGCATTTTTATGATTTGCACGTAATATAAATAACCTAAGTTAACTGCATTAAAGGAATAGTTCACTTTGAAATTAATTTTTGATATGTTTTATATTACCTCAAAGGCATCCAAGATGTAGGTGTCTTTGTTTCCACAGTATTTTTAATTTTGATATTTTTAGGTCAAACCGGTGTTGTCTGTCAGTCATAAATAATGCAGGTTTAGGGGGTCCACCTCAAAGAGCATGCACAGAGAAGTCCAAATTAAACATGATTTAATGACTCGTAAATGTAAGTACACATTGATGGCCTAAGACACGAAACGAGCGGTTTGTGTGAGAAAAAAAAACAGTATTTATATCGTTTTTACCTTGTGTAATAAGTGATTTGAATCAATTGTGCAATGTCTAACTGAACCGAACTGAATCATGTTCAATGTTCCGCCGGAAGTGATCGCTTACGCGTGTACGTCATTCAATATTTACACGGAGATTTTGGAAGTTTTACCTTTCACTAAACATATTTAGATATACAGGAAATCGCAATGGAAGACAATTTCGGTATATCTCAATATGTTTAGATCTTATCAGTGAAAGGTAAAACTTCCGAGATCTCTGTGTAAACAATGACATCGACGCTTCCGCCGAAACTTTGGGCTTGGTTCAGTTTGAACATTGGACAACTGATTCAGATTACTTGGACGTGACTGTGATTACACGAGGTAGAAACTATATAAATACTATATAAATTACCATAATGAGGCCTTTGGAAGTCCATCAAAGCGCATCTATTCATGATTATTAAAGTGCTCGACACATCTCTCCGGGGGTTAATAAAAACCTTCTGACGTGAAGTGATGAGTTTGTATAAAAAAAATATCCATGTTTAAAACGTTATCAACTAAAATAACTAGCTTCCGGCAGACGGAATTTATTTAGCGAGAACTAGTTTTGACCTGTTTGCCGCCAGATTGCCGTTCGTGCGGATTGATATTAAGGTCTGTTTACTCTGTTTTATGGTATGGTAATGGTACCATCTGTTTTATGGTAACCGAATGGTGTTGTTGCGCCAAAATGAACCCAAATACGATTTAAATCAATGTTTATGAAGCCCACGTCTGTTTTTTTGTTTGTTTGTTTGTTTTGCGCAAAAGTGTAATGTAGTGTCAATAAAATGATTCATTTCAGTATTTATCATGTTATAACTGAAAATTTGAGAATTGCATCTCGAAACCCTCGGTATCTATCATTTACAGCAATAAATACACATGACGTGACCTATTTTTGTCATTTTCATGACTATAGCCTACTTTGACACTATTAAACTCATAATAAACTTGGATACCCCCAATATTAAATATGTTAAATCAAAGAAATGGACACTAAATAGAACACATTATTATTATAAAACATTGTAGACTAATCTACACTATTTACCATTGAGTAGTTTTTGAGAAGAGTAATTTGTACTTTTACTTGAGTACTTTTTTGACACCAGTACTTGAGTATTATTTCAGCAATGTAACAGTACTTGTACTTAAGGGCACATTTTCAGTACTCTTTCCACCACTGCAGTGGAGTTGAATGTTAACCACTGAAACTTTATAATAGTAGAAAAATAACAAAACATCTTGTCCTCAGCTCTGGGGCACATTGCTGTGCCTAATAAGAACATTGTGAACAAAATTATGTTGTTAAACAAGAATCAGTGACCCATAGTGAAAGGGAGGAAGAAGGGAGGAGGTATAAGGTTATTCTACAGCCTTTGGAAGAACAACAGCTCACCTAATGCAACAAAACAGCACTTAAAGTCAGCATGAAACAGAAGTTGCGATGGTGTTTTCTTCCCCGGTGGGTCACCATTCTTTCCAGAACAGGTTATTAAACCATTCAATTGATTTCTGATTTCAGTTTTATTAAGTTGAAGTAGTTGCCAAGTATAGTTGAAATAGTTGCCACCATAAACTGAAAACTGCACAGAGAGAGAGGGTTGGAGAGAGTAAGTGTTGACATCTCTCATGTCCTCAACTCACCCTATGATATCAGTCCAAGAGCTCTGTGTGTGTTTGTGTGTGTGTGTGTGTGTGTGGAGGCTCAAGCAACTGCCTTAAAGTACTTAATCTAACAGAGACGTCGCAGACCACAGCAGGACATGTGTTTGTCCTTATTCTGCAAGAAGACCTTTTACAGGGTCTTGATTCTGTTTTGGGAACAAACATTCACAAACAGCATCGCAAAGTTGTGTGGTAAGAAGCCAAGTTTCTTGTTTGTATGACATGTGGACTTAATAAATCCTTATCTTGAGTAAAATAAGCAAGCTGACATTCAGTACAATTCATATCTTTGATTTAGACTAGAGAATTAATCCTCAGATGCAATGTACTTAATTTATAGCAAAAAATCCTGAATTCTAAAAAATCCTGTCTCCATAAACCCCTTCTAAAAAGTGCATTGTACTCTGATTGGTCGTCTGGACCAGTGAGTTGTGATTGGTCAACCGTTTCGAGTGCGTTTCGGAAAAGCAACCCCCTTCGCCATAAGCACTACAAACACAACTCAAGCAGGCCTGGGCTCTTCATTTTGCGTTTGCCTTGAGCGGGAATTATTTAAATTAAGAATATTGTGACGTTTATAGTCCCGTAAGAAAACTCAAGACTACAATCAAGTCGTTTCGGGGAGTCAGAAACAGTACACACTGATATAGAGAATAAATCCCTTTTGACTTCTTTAATTGATCCTTTTCATGCTCAAACAGCAACATTACTCATTAAAGAAAGTTGAAAATGTGAAAAATCAGGTCCTCTTTAAGAGTAAATGGACAAAAAATAGTGCTATTTTATGCATTATTTCTCTTTTGCAGTTCTGGGCATATTTTGGAGTTTATCTGCATATTCTGATTTGAATGTGACTTTAATTATTGATGCTCTGTTGAACTGAAATTACTACTAAGACTAATGAAAGACTAATATCAGTCAGAGTAATTGCTTACAAAAAAACCCTCTCTGGATTTGTAAATTATTAATGCAATAATATGGTTATATGATCAAATTGGTTGCCCACGCACATGTTAAGGGTGAAGGTTCTTTAAGGTAAGAAATAAACTAATGGCTAAGTATGACATGAACACTTGGGAAATGAGATTTCATTGCATGCTTTGTTACAGTGGTAACTCAATGAAGAGCTGCTTTACACGAGGTCTTTATGTTATTTATCTCAGGCTGTCTGAGGACAACAGCTCTATTTGTATATCTGTTCTTTTTTCAGGACTTTTCATAATTATTAATTCAACCTTCTTCTGCAGGCCAAATGCCCCTTGGTGGACTGAGAGACAGACCAGTCCTGTTACATTTTGTCATATTTATGAAATTGAATGCTGCATTTAATGCTTAAATGGCAAATAACAGCACTGTAGCATTGATGCAGAAAGCACAGCATGGTCGGTAAGGAGCCGTGCAGGATTACACATCAACTACATCACTCTTCTTACGCTCAAAGACACTTTCTCCATTCAGCAAGGCTATTGTGTAGATGTATTACCAGATTCTGACATAAAAAGGTGTTGTTTCTGGTTGGTATCGCGAGTGAAATCTTTTAAAGCAGTTTAGTTAAGGAACGCAGGTTAGGGTTTTTCCAGACTAAAAGCTTTTAGTTAAAGGAATGTTCCAGATTCACCACAGGTTAAGTTTGATCAACAGCTAGGTTACAACAGGCCAACTTATAAAGTGAATTTACAAGCAACAACACCAAATAAGTCGTTATTACTGTCATGAAAACACTGCCACCATTTGAGCATTTGTATGTTGCTGCTCTTAAGCTGTGATAAGATCTTTTCAAAAGGAGATATTTTCCACTCAGAGTTTGTTTGTGTGTAATCCAGCGCGCGCGCGTGCGCCTGTTGCGTTCGTTGTTCTGTCTGACGTAGAGTTCAAACCAGCTGACCTCGCGAGCCGCGACCCGAGCTAAACCCCTCACAGAAACAGAGAGATTTGAGCAGCAGTTTACAGATGAGTACAGACAGACTCCTGCGATCGCTAGACTACAATACAGGGAGGACATTGCTTTTCTCCTGAGTCCACTTCTTCCCATTTTAAAGTAAACCATAACGCGTTTTAACTGGAAGGTAAGCAGATATAAAAAAAGTAATTTTGACAGCTCGCGATTGGCCGTAAACGATATAAAAAGCCGCATAAAACATTTTAATCTAAATTAATGAGCGCGTTTTTAAGAAAACTCTGCAATAGTGTACAATTATGTGTTAAAATGACAAACCATTTTAAATCTCTGATTAGCCTTTTCAACATCGTGTTCAACTTTACATTTCTTTCAAGAGTTGTCAAATATATTTTTCAAAGAAGCCTAACTTTGTTAAACATCGTTTGAGTCTTGCTATCAAGATTTTCATGTCAAATATAATTTTTCTAATAACCCCTGTAAGTTCCTTTTTTGACAGTTTCCGTTTTTATTTAGGCTATTTGAAAGTGAAATTTAAGCCACAACCTTCAAAAGCTGTTGTTAATTAGAATTTAAAATCTGAATAATGAATAACCAGGTATTGTTAAAATGTCTTTAGTACAAACAATATAGGCTACCTTTATTTAAAATTTGCTATATTGCTTTAGTTATGTCCTTCGTGAGCCTATAAACACCTACATTTCTACTCTCAACCACTAGGGGGAGCTAAAGGTCTTCAGGTCGGCAACAAAAAGAGTTTAATGAATGCCAACATTACAAGACCCAGAGTGTCTTGAGATTTCACACATTCATTAAACCCCAGACTCACAGCATGAGGGACCAAAGTGTCACGTGGGCAGAACAGAGACCGATGTACCCGAAAGAAGCAACTGATCCAATGAGTCGGGAGGGTGCAGTATCCTTCACAGGAGAAACAGTGTCCAGCAGCATGATAGCCCGCTCTTCTCTTATCCATCCCAGAGGCCTGAGACGAGCAGAGACCGTCGGCATAATCACAGTGCGTCGCAAACGTGAGTCTATCCCTGCTGTGACAAAAGACGAAGGTTATTGGGACAAGCGCAAAAAGAACAACGAAGCTGCCAAGCGTTCGCGTGAGAAACGCCGCATCAGCGACATGGTGGTAGAGAACCAAGTTCTGGCTCTTCTTGAGGACAATGCACGTCTGAAAGCTGAGCTACTGGCACTTAAGTTCAGATTCGGTTTGATCAAAGATCACACAGATTCACCAGCACAGATCTGCTCATATGGTTCATATAACCAAACATGTCCAGCAATACCCTGCTACTGCCCCAACACTAACCCACAACCTGCCCATGGACACCCGTTGTCGACCCCACAGCAAAACTATGGGTTCTTCATCCCATTAAGCATTGGGAGCCCAGAACTCTCAGGTGATGCGGTTGGTGAACCTACTGGACTCTATCGAGGTGACGAACAGCCAGGCCGTATCGCAGAAGTGGATACCAATGCATTAGTGTCAGGATGGCAAGAGAACAACATGAAAGGTCTTCCTCATAAACTGCGTTTCAAGACGCCATGTAGACTTGAAGGTGCTGAGGTGGAAAATCTCTCCTCAGTTACATCTGAGTGTGAGCGGACAGAGGGTTTCTGGACACACACACACAGTGCCATCGGCTTGTTCAACAGCACATCAGAATAACTCCAATATTTACAGAAAGTCACAGCGCTATTAGATTCCAGCTAAGCGCTTTGAATGAAGAAATGGCCGGGCTCCAAAAAGCAGTGAACTGAGGTCGATTCTGTGACACCTGACTTCTGACCAATCCAAAGAAAGAAGCTGCTTTTTCTGATTGTTACAGACATACATAAGAAGCCAGCTGGATGTTCGCTGGAACAGCTGGCAATTGGAGACATTTTTCATTCTTGTGTAATTTTCATATGCCTGTCTGCACCACTAATGTTCATGAGAAATATTGTGAAAGTAAAACGCTCTCCTGTTTTCTCCTGTATACTGTTGTGGCGGATTGTGCTTTGTTTAACATTCAACATTGAGCCTTCACAATGCAATAAAATCAAAACCTTTTTTGTATCTTTCCTATTCAACACCTGTTATGTTTTCATTTCATTTCTGTTTATGGACTTTTGGTTTTCTCGGTTTGTTTAAATTCACCTGGGATTCAAAACATTAGTTTTCTTTTTTTACAATCGTTTTACTTCTAAAGTCATCTTTTTTTAATGAATAAAGTGTATTTTTTTTACTGTAAAATGTTTTTTTTTTTTTTTTACAAACTCAACTCAAGGTCTAAATTTACCTCCAAGTTAATAATCTATAAGACTCAAAAGAGAATAAACTGTTCTTTTTAAAGCAATGCATATAGTTTTGCTCAGAAGTTTGCAATCATGATCATTGCATTTTTATTATTTAAAGGGATAGTTCACTTTCAAATTAAATTTTGGTATGTTTTAGCTTACCTCAAGGGCATCCAAGATGTAGGTGTCTTGGTTTCTGCAGTAGTTTCAATTTTGATATTTTTAGGTCAAACCGTTCTTGTCTGTCAGTCATATAATGGAGGTCTATGGTCACCACCTCAAAGAGCATGCACAGAGAAGTCCGAATTAAAGATGATTTAATGACTCGTAAATGTGTCCGTCAATGTGTACTCACATTTACGAGTCATTAAATCATCTTTAATTTGGACTTCTCTGTGCATGCTCTTTGAGGTGGTGACCATAGACCTCCATTATATGACTGACAGACAAGAACGGTTGGATGCCCTTGAGGTAAGCTAAAACATACAAAAATTTAATTTCAAAGTTAACTATCCCTTTAATATTGTCCAGAAGCTATTTTTAAAACACACAAATTATACTATTAACACTACCATTCAAGTGGGGTTTTTTTTTTGACGATTTCCTTTTTTACAGTATAATTATACAATTTATAAATTGTAGACTTTACCGATGTTACTGACTTTTAAAAAAAAAGAAATTACTTTTATTCAGAAAGGAATAAATTTCTTTTTTTTTAAAAATTTGTATAAGATTATTTTCTTAAATAAGCATTCATGCAGAGCAGAACTGTACATTCATATAGTTATACTTTTTATTTATTAATTTAACCTGCATGAACCTCATATTCTCAGTAGTTGACGGACGGATCAGTCTTTTTGTCTCCCACAGTTCTGAAGACTACATTTACATTTATCCATTTAGCAGACGCTTTTATCCAAAGCGACTTAGAATTGCTATATATGTCAGGTCAACTAGGGGTTAAGTGTCTTGCTCAGGGACACATTGGTGTCTTACAGTGGATTCGAACCTGGGTCTCTCATACCAAAGGCGTGTGTCTTATCCACTGCGCCATCACCACCCAGACTAAGTGGCTGATTACAGCAACAGCTTCAATGTCAAAGCAGCGTCAGCATCTAAACGGCTATTTAAAGATGCGAGAGTGAAAGTCATTGATTCCCTATAGTAAGGTGTGATTTCAACATGCTAAGCTGAAAGAAACATTGGTGGAATGAAAATCAGAATCAGAGGCCGAATAACACCGATGTAGAAGCACCTAACCCTGCATGGTTTTAAGCCTAAACTTCACAAAATGTAAATGTGTCCCTCAAATCTGATTGTTTGATTGCAACGTTGATCCAGGAACATATTGTACAGTGTTTAATCACTTTCATTGTGTTCTTATACCAAGCAGTGAGTAGAAATAAACAATTTATTTCCTCTAGAGATTCCCACAGTTCCACTGTCTGCGAGACAGTTTATCGTCGCAGCTACAGTACATGTTCAATGTCAACATCAGCACTTCTGTTGCCATTTTAAGCAGCGGGAGACAAAGTTATTGATTCACGAATGCTTTTTTTTTTTTGCTCAATGTTAAACATGCAAAGCAATGCAAAAAGAAACAAGCCAGCAGCAGTGGGTCGAAGCAGAAGGTTTACAGGCTCATCCGGCTAAATTGTGCTCTGCATTCCGTATGGCTTTCGGGCAGATGTTCGGGCTGATCCGTGTTTGGTTTATCAGTATGAATAAACATATTAATTGAATGTGCGAAGCAGCTTTGTTAATAGGGGGTAAGTCGTCAAAGAGTCCATTTGAAAACTGTGAAATAATAATACTACATTTACATTAACTGTGCACCCTAGTGGGCTTCAATCTATATGAAGTATATGGGCTCTATGCATGGCAGTATTTCCGGTGAAGGTGTAAGGATGCTCGATAACTTCCGCCAATCGTCCAATGCAATACAGAGAATTTATATAGAATTTTATACTCCATGGTTATACTAAAGAAACGTTAGTCACAAAAACGGATAAAACAGACACACCTCGTTGTGTTTATGCTTCTTTTTAAAATTATATTAAATAAACATATATAAAATTACATATAAACGTATGAAAGTTTCGTTTCAAAGACGGGAGGACAGTAAATTTTGAAGACTGCCATAATCCCGTTTTCCTCCACTTTAATCTCCACAACCGGAAATGGACGAGCATCCTTGCGTCAAATGCGGAATTTATGCGTGCATATAGCCCATTCTATACCAGATAAAGGTTTTGGCACTTACTATGTGAACACACACACACACACAAAAAAATCATGGACATGATTCATACAAGTTAAATGGTCCTTTAAAAATGGTCACACTTGAGCGCATTGGAAATGAATGGGAGATGAATTTCATCTAGTGGACACTTTTGGTACTGCGGCCAAAAATAATCTTACTGAAAGCTAATTTTTTGAGATACCAAGCTTAAAAAGGGAACACAACTTGTTTTGGTGTATGGCTTTGATTTTCCTGCAGTTAAAATTATATTTCACATAAAATTAAAACTAGTATTTTTGTGCATTTTTCATTGCAATAAATGTAAAATTATGTACCTTTTTTAAGTCCTTCAGCAATAATATGCCAAGTGTCGACTTTGAAAAGACATCAGTCTGCGCATTCAAGATTTACGACCTGGCGCAAAATTAACCTTTGGTCTAATAAAACATCGATGTGTTATTAGACCAAAGGTTCATTTTGCACCACAGTTCTCCTTTAAGACATTTAATTTTCATAATCAAAAAGTGAATAAATTGATTGTAACTACAGCATAAATACAATTTAGTGCCATTTAATCCCCTAAAAATACAAAAAAATTTAATAAAAAAACTGATTGAACTAGATAATGCGTTTGACCGCCATGCGAAGACCACCAGAGGGTTAAAACACTTGTCTCATGTTTTAAATGTTACCATGTGGAGGGCACTACTAAGCTTTGTTTACATATTGGTTGGCTGTTGACTATGACATAATAAAATTTGTGTTTTTAAAATGTACTTCAAACATCATGCACATCTACAACATAAAGATGGTCTTACACCTCAGAAAACACTGAGGTGTAATTTTATTAGGCGTTCTGCTTTTATGAATGAGCCAGGATTTCATAATATTGCCCCGACTCATAACTACTAACATCTGCTCCCCTTGGATCTCAGATCTACTAGTGGATCGGCAAGCAGACAATACCGCTCCACAGAGGATGCCTACGCTGCTTCCTGTTCCATGATCCACATTAGAAAAACACACATTGGGTTCTTTGTCTCTCCCAGCACCCCTCATCAACCCCTCTCTCTCTGCAAGGAGGAAGGGGGGACCAGTTGCTAGGCAGGCAGCATAACGGTTGCCTAGGGAACTGTAGCAGACGCAGCTGTGAGAGAATGGGGGAGAATGCAGAGGGGGAGGGAAAGGCAAGTTCAAGGCCAAAACCCCCAATCTGCGTACAGTGTCCGTCAGCACCGCAACAGATGAAAGGGAAAGCGCATGCATGGGCCTAAAACGGGCATGTCTCCTGCCACGACCCTCTTGATCGAAGCACTTCACTGGGATGCAAGTGTGGTGAAAGACAGAGCAAGAGGTCACATGTTATAAAGATTGTTGCAGCTGCATTGGCGCTACTATAAAACACACACATAGTTGAGTAGATTTGTATCAAACGTTCTACAAATTTGTGGGGAAAATAATTGCATTCCCATACTTGAATTTGAATGTAAATTGAACAAACTTTCCCTCAAAAGGGCTTGAGTCAAGTGCATTTACCCTGATAGTTCACCCAAAAATGTTAATTCTATACTCACCCTAAGGTTGTTCCACACCTTTATGAACTTCTTTTTTTCCTTTGAACACAAAAGAAGATTTTTTGAAGAATGTCGGTAACCAAACAGTTGACTTTTATCGATTTTTTTCTCCATACAGGCAACTGTTTGGTTAGCGACATTCTTCAAAATGCAAAATAGCATTTTTTTTTTTTATTCCATAGGTTTGGAACACCTTGGGGGTGAATAAAATTGTGATAGAATTTACATTTTTGGGTGTACGATCCCTTTAAGCAGGTGTCCAAGGATTCAAACTGAGGAAACGGTTGGAATACCCACTTAGACGTTATACATTTGTTTATGTATAATTAGTATATTCTGAGAACTGTTGGCTTCTGTTGCCTGCATCATTGTTCAGGTCAAGGAACTTAGAGTAAAACCGGAACAGACCAACTCAATCATGTCAAAAATTACACAGACGCACACATAATCAATTGTCTGTAACTGCATACAAGAACAGAATGTTAAGAATGTATCTTGAACTTGCGGAGACTCTATCTGTGACCTGTGTTGAAAGATGAACCTTCTTATACAAGGTGTCCTGCCAGCAATAATAGCATTTCTGGGCAACTAAAAATCAAATACAGAACTAAAACCAAATAAAATTTCATTACAAGGATAACAATGTGCTTATTTTTTGGATCATTAATACTAATAATTTGGTGCATATAATCTAATGTTAAGTGTATTTATCCATTTACTTAAAATTTAGGTTACAACTTGTTTCAATAGTCAACTTTAGACATTCTTCTAACTTTAATAACTTTGCAAATACATGTCAACTGTCATTAGAGTATACACTGTCTGCTTAATATCTGCTGACACTTTATTGTGATGCCCCAACAAACACTCTACTAACTTTGCAACTATGTCAGTGTATTCTAACCTGAACTCTAATCTAGCAGTCTACAACAGTGTACAAATACTCAAATGAGAGTTAGTTGACATGTAGGTACAAAGTTACTTAGTTAGTAGAATGTCTATAGTGAACCATCAAAATAAAGTTACACTGCAATTACATTTTTAACTGCCAATTTGCAACCCAGTGAAAATAGCAACATTTACAATAATAATAATATACATCATTTTATTTTGCTGATATTTCATTATCAGATTAATAGTTTGTCTGATTTAGCTTGAGAACATTATTTGACTAAAAATACAAAGTTTTGTCTGTAGTCTTATTAATTTATAAGGCAAGTAGGGAACAATCTTTAATAATCAATACATGATTTTATTCAGTAAACCACAGATTATTTAAAAACTATATATAAAATTTGTGTAGGGTCATGACCTTGATCACAAGCTAGTGATGGCTAAATTAGCCTACCAAAACATTAACAGACAGTTACCAACACATAATAAATAAATTAGATAGATAGATAGATAGATAGATAGATAGATAGATAGATAGATAGATAGATAGATAGATAGATAGATAGATAGATAGATAGATAGATAGATAGATAGATAGATAGATAGATAGATAGATAGATAGATAGATAGATAGATAGATAGATAGTCTTCTAATATTCCTTTGGTTAGCATTAAGTTTATAGTCACATTAGACTTTTCTTTGAGCCAAAGTGTGTTTTATGCAATTGTGAATATTTACGCAACATTGCCAGTCTCGTAACCTCCTTCTTTTAGAGAAGCTGTTGAATACACACTACACAGAGGCGTGTTGGAGCAACTGCACACTGCTGCTGCTGTGTATATGCCATCGGTGTATGAGGTGAATGTCGTTACAAGGAACCTAAGAACCAACTCCGTCCCCCGGTTTCTTCGGTCATTTCGGCAGGAGAGGAGGCTTGCGTATCGTCATGATGAACAAGAACGTGACTAGGCACCAAAGCTCCGTGTTATGCAACCGCTGACCTACTAACACACATTCGAGGACGACAAGAGGAGTGTGTGTGTGTGTGTGTGTGTGTGTACGAGAGGAAAATTGGAGCAAAGCCTCCGACATAACACAAGGACGAAGAGGGAGGGAGAGATAGACGGCGAATAGCAGCACATTCAGGGAGTCACATTAATCGACACAAAGCCGGTGAGTGGATCACGACCCACACGGGACATTTTCAGCCCAGACTGAAGTTGTAAAGGGAAGAAAGACCAGAATCGGGACGAGAGACGGCACACAAGCGCGGACGTGCAATTTATTGAAGAATAGCCTAAAAGAGGATTCTTTCGTTTAACTAAACGAATGCGCCATTTCACATAGGTGAGTTAAACAGCACTCCGTTTATTATATAGCTAATATTTCATAATACGTGCTGTGTGTAGTGTGTTTTACAGAGCTTGTAGCAGGCTAAACAGTTGTAGGCTAGGCTTTTACCTTGCAACGTGGTCAGGGCATGTTATTGTTCACATGGAAACCGACTCAGGGTCTGCGTGGCTCTCAAATGCTTCGCTGACTGCGAATTTTTGGGTTTCAATGGTTCTTTCTTTATTGTTTATGCTTGCCTATTTTAGATTGTAATGTTTCAACAGATTATCTCGCATTGTGCACTGCATACATTTTCACATTCAATGTCAAGGCGAGACGGTCGTGGCGTGGGGGGAGGTGGTGATCATTACGAAATCCAAAAGCATGAGTGGCTGTGGGTCAGTTAATGTCTGTGCATTGCATTGCGGCGGCATCATTCCCGTGCATTTCAGTTGCAAGTCAGCGTTTCTTACTAAGCATATGGTTGTTAAAGAATAAAGCGATGCCACGCGAATGGTTGTTGTGTTGTACGACGATCTTGTCGAGCAGAGAAAGACCCTCTTCAGATGCGCGAGATCGCGTCAAAAAATCGCGTCAGCATTAGTGAATCAAATTCTCGAAATGTGAGTAACTTACGTATCACTTATTGTACAATGTGAGGCGAAGTACAACTTTTGGTTTGGGAAAGAGTGTTAGTGTTAGTTAGAAAGCATACGAATGTGCAAACCATTCAAATGTTTAATAATTTATTTGTCTGTAGTGGGGACAAAAAAATGTGATGTACACTCCTCGCATGCTTAGCTTCTGACCTACTCCTATACTAAGTAGACTATGCCCCTTTACAATTCCACCACTCCCCATTCAGCAATGCCTGGAATCTGAAACTGCCTCACATTGCTCCCAAACTTCTTACAATACAAAGCAATCAGTCCAAAAACCAAACAAGAGCATTCAAAATATGTGCATACAGGTGGTGAGTTTACTCCACTACATAAACTAATCTGAAGGCTAGTCTCCAGTCTGAAAACTTGCTGTGAACTTAATTTTCATAGACAGCTATTGAGAATTTAGCATTAACCCCTGTAATTAAGAGTCTAGCCAAAACACTCAGTCACACTGGCCTACTTGGCTTTTAGGTTGGAAGGAAGACTAGAGGCGTAACAGTTCTGCTTGCATGTGACTGGGTGAACACATGCAGGGAGGCTTCCAGCTGTAAACACTATCCATGTGGGACGGTGCATAACTGTTTAATGGGACCTCAAGCTCTTTTTCTTCAAATGTAGACTCTTAATTCTTGGAAGAGGAAAAGTAAACAAGCTAAAGGAACCAATAACACAAATGTGTATGTGGTCAAAATATCGTTAGTATGGTTATGTCTCCCATCTTTTTCTTTGAGCACCATTACTATCCTAAGCCACTATCCTACCATAAAAAAAGGTTAACGGATACTAAATTTGTAGCAACTTGCGTGTCTGAGCTCAACATGTCCTAAAATGATCCTCAAGTCTGGCATCCATCTCTGGAATCATGGCCCGATTTAATCTAATATTCTGATGATGACGTATTTGCTTTTTTTTTTCCCCCCCTGTACCTCTGCAGTGCTGGTAAATTCCTCTCTCATCCCCCATTTGGAATCCTTAACTCCTCCCTCATCCAAGCACACTATTTTTGGTAGGCACTATAATTCCTCCCCACTTGCTCTGACGCACTCTCTCACAGACACACAGCCGCGGACACACACACCGTTGCCGCCCCACTGACCTATTTTACAGCATAGCTTTAGACCCAGTGCGCGCGCGCACCGTGTTTACGGAGCAGCCGGTTTCTAGGTCAGTAGGACACACACACGCAACGTCCACCACCCTTCCCGTGCTCTCGTTTACGTTCCTACTGAAAAATGATCATGCATGGACCATACTTTGTGCTTCCATGTTTTCTGGAATCTTAGTCCTCACGATGCTGTGAGCCTAGCCACAATGGACAAAGTTACTCTCTCGTGTGGTTGAAGATAAGGAAAAATTCAATCAGGCTTAAACAAAACAGGCATAGGCAAAGTTCTATGTTTGCTTTTGAGAACAATGGGCTGTTTGTGGTGTACTTTTTTGTTCCTCTTCCTCTTTTTGCCGTTGAACTATGAGAATGCCGGGTTTATAAGTTGTGTTTTAGTGATGGTGCAATAGCTGTGTGTGGTTATGTAACATGAACTCTGATGTTCTCACCATGAGCTGCAAAATAGGATGAGCAAACAAATCAAGGACAAAGTCCTTATAGTTTTAGCACAGTGACAAAAAAAACCATTCTCTTCTACCAAAAAGCACAAACCTTAACAAAACCGTATTATAAAAAAAATAGCACAATAAGAAGTAATTTAAAAAGACAATTGTGTATGTGTACTCATTTTTAATAAACAAAATGTTCCTGGTTACGTTGTCAATAAATGATGTTTGGATCACTAATAAATGATGCCAAGAGAATGAGGGTTATTCCGGATATTCCACCACACCTTTAGTTCCCTGCAGACCTGGCAGTCAAGTCAGATGTCTCTGATTATGTGACAGTGCAGTATCTTACACAATAAGTGTCCTACTGCAGCATGGCCTGATCTCCTACTCGCTGTGCTACACTACTCTACTGACCTACATTTCTCTAGAGCTCATAGAAGAGGAAAAGCAGAACATGTCAGTTGCTGCCAAGATTGGAAATGGAACACTGGGTTGTTTCCGAATTATTACATGAGAATAAATTTTGCTAATGCATCATTTGACATGATTCGTCCATGGTATTTATCATCGAAAGCTGCAGCTTTTGAATGGAAATTGAAAAGAAAATGTCCTTCCAAAATCCTCATATGAAAGTCAATCACTTTTTGTTACTGAAAGGATTGAAATTACTTCGAAAGTTAAACTACATACACACAACTACAACAAAGTAAAAAAAGACCACCACAAATGCCACCAGCGCAATAAAGTAGAACACTTCTGCATACATTTAAAATAATGTACCATTTTTAATTCTTGTTAGCTTTAGCTCTATGATGTAGTTGTTTTTGTATATTCTTCTGGACACTTCAGTTAACACCTCCTGTTTCATTGTCTTTACAGATCTGTTCAACAGAGACTGGGATAAAACATTGAGCTGAGACGGTCCAGATAAACAATCAAGTTTATTCTCCAACAGATATCCCACCCTATACAACCACGTCACCCATCAAGGAGCTTTGCCAAGTCAACAAATTTACCTTGTCTAAAATCTGAGAGATCTGAAAGCAAGCTAAACAAAAAAAGGGAGACCATCCCTTTTCTGGGACAAAAAAACTTGGAACACACTTATCCAATGACGGTTGTTTTTGTTGCCTTCCATCTTTTTCTAATCTTTTTGACCAATCTGGACACTTGAAAGGTTTGAAGACCGCATACTGGCAATTAAGTTTGTTTTTGAAGTTTCAATCAGAAACAACTAATCTTCAGTATCAAAACATTAAATTTCAATGTCCACTGAGTGCCAGATATACAAACTGGCCTCAATAGGACCACAATGGAAAGCCTAAATCTTCCCACCCAAAACAACAATGCCAGCTTGGAAACATTAGAAACGTTCTCAAACTACAGTGAGAGTTTACCATCACCTCGAATCGCGAGCCCTCCTCGTCAAGGCCGGCTAATAAAACCAAAACCCAACTCAAGCTGTCGACGGAAGCGGGAGTTCATCTCGGATGAGAAAAAAGATGCATCCTATTGGGAAAAGCGACGCAAGAATAACGAGGCTGCGAAGAGGTCAAGGGAGAAACGCCGGCTCAATGATATGGTGCTGGAGAACAGGGTGATGGCACTGAACGATGAAAACGTGCGGCTGAAGACAGAGCTCCTGCAATTGAAATTGAGATTTGGACTCATAACCTCTGCCTCTTACATGGAAAAGACCCAGCAGATCAGCAATGGTAGTGAGGCAGCGACTAATGGAGCTAATGGTACAGGAGCAACTTCCGTAAATCCATATTACTCAAGCAGTGGATACTCTAGTGCTTCTCAGGTCATGATGAACTCCGATTCCTCAGAAGCCGAGCAGCCGACCAGGAGTGAACGCCACTCAGCGTTACACAAGTACTCCCCCCGGGGATCACTCTCCGACATGTCGGACGGATCTTCGCGGGACAGTCCCGAACCTATAAACTTTGACATCAAACACGAGAGCTCTGGAATGGACATTAACAGGCTTGAGGCAAGTGTTCTTAATGGCATGTTCAATGGCCATCAAAGTCTCGGACGACTGGAGTCTCACCAACCTCAAGAAATGGAGCAGCAAGAAGGCGTCAACCCAGCCCCTCCATCTGCCACACCCCAAAGAAGCGTCATCCTCTTTCGTTCTGGAAGCAACTCCTACCCTGTTGAGAGCCAAAGGGTTGAGGACATGGAGCAGCAGGTTGCATCCCAAACACAACAGAATGGGCAAATCACCCATTTTACCCAAACAGGGTGCAGTCTACAAATAAGACCTGATGGTTTAGAGACTCTTTCGGAGGTGGCGCAGCAGCTGGCCAGGAGGTCTTTGGATTCACCAAACTATGAATTCACTAACAGCAGGGCAGATGCCGGGGAGAGCAGGCGGTTTGTCATACAGCAACAAGACCTGAGCGTTCAAGGACAATGCAGAAGTCAGGTTCAAGACAGCACCCCAAATTCTTTCGCCCCAGATTTGCTCAGTGAGGCCGGAAAAGCCCTTGTAAGCCAGCGATCCAATCCCTACCTCGGCACTCTGAACGAGGAGCCACCAGAGCTTACGTATGAAGGTTGCCCAAGAGCAGATGGCTTCTACCAAGAGCACTCCTCCTCAGGCAAGGACACCTCCTCTAGTGACGGAGACCCTCGCAGCTCAGATAAAGAAGCCTCCACTGACGACGAATCTCCCTCATCCTCTTCCTCAGATACTGGTGGATTTCACGCAATCCACCAGTCAGCATCCTCACCCACCATGGTTATGAGCGATTCTTACCTGTACGGAGACAACCAAGGTGACATGAAAGGCACTGCTCTGCCACACAAGCTAAGACTTAAGTATAGAGCACTGTCCAATGGCGGCTCCCAAGACGTCCTGGCCACAACGTCACCTGATTCCGCTCTGCCTCAGCACCCCTACCTGGCGCTAGCCCAGGTTAACCAGCAGCAAGGCAGCAGCTCTGGAAGCAAGGAAGGGGAGTGTGAGACAGCAGATGAACTTTACACACAACAGTTTCCTCCCAGAGAGAAGGAAGAGGGATGGAAGGAAAGTGGGAAGAGGAGTTTAGGAGGACGAGGTAGCAGAAACAAGAAGCGTGACTGAAACTGGCACATCCCATCTTGTTAAAATTGTTAAAATGTCATCTTTACCGTCCTATAGAAAGAAAAAAGAAAATGGTACCAGTTCATTGCATGAAAGTCTATTGCTTATACAGAACAACAACAAGAAAGTAACTTGTGTTCTTGGTCCGTTTTCTTATCAAGAGCGATTCTGTGACTTTTAATGCAACATTTTTTCATAAGCACTTAACTGTAACTTTAAAAAGTTACAAAGAGGAAATTGAGCTCTTTCTAATGACCTTTTTCCTCTAGCAAAACAAACCTACAAAGCTCTGTGTATAGCAACCTTTGACTATGAACATATCTCTGCCATGTTTTGTAGCTTAACTAAATTGATGGGTAGTTCCTGAACCCAAGACGTTTTCACCACACTTCATGGACTCAAGTCCTATTCTCCCTACTGATTTCAGAAGAAAAAAAACCTCAACAGATTCATGCCTGTCTCTCTCCTCCTCTGCCTTTGAACTTTAGCATTATCGAAGCACTTGGAATATTATAATACTGTGACATGACTAAACATATCATATTTCAAGTACATTTTATGAAAAATGGCAACATCTTTAAGAGTAGAAAAGTGGGAGAAAGACTACCAACACTGTCTACTTCTTACTGTTTGGATTCCTGTATAGTCTATTCCCAATGTTCATGTCTGATGCTTCCATTATATTTTCTAAGCCATCGTATTTATGTCACCGTATCGTTTAAGAGATACCAGAATGTTCTCTTCATAGTGTTTTGGTCATTCATAGGTCAACGCTATCACATTTTGTCCAGTACATTGCTATACTGTATCGGTGTAAAGGAGCCTGATGGATTGACCCTCTCCAAAGGTCACTGTGAGCAGTCCTTTAAAGAAATGTAAAAATAAAGAATTAGCAAACTACCTGACATTTCTCCAAATTCGAGTAACAAGCCCTTTCAGAAATGTCAAGGTGGTCTCTTCCAAGTTAATATGCGGACTGTACAAAGTGTAAAATATATCATTGCCATCCCAAGATGGCCATGTCCTCTGTGGTCAGGCTTCAGAGACGCCTCACATGCTACCTCATGAGAAGAAACGGTTGAGGTCACTCAGAACTGACGAGTTTCTCCTTTGGTGCGTGTAGCCCATTGCATCATCATACCCATTAAATGTTGCATATAAAAGTTAACACACAGTAAAATGCTGCAGCACACCACTAAGTGTTACCTAGACACAAATTCAGTCCTACTAGTTGTCTTTGTAGAATTTACCACAGCTGAAAGCTGCTTCTGCACTGAATTTTTTTCATCAGATTTTATACAATCTGTGTTTATTGTTCCCAAACAGGTGCCTGGCACTGGCCATCATGTAAAAAGTGTACAGACAAATTCTCTTTTGAGTATTTTAAGTTTGTATCAAGTTTATTTTGGCATTCTATAATAATAATAATTATTAATATTGTATTTTTATTTTATATTCCAATTCTATTATTCTTTTTGGGTTGATATTTCTTGTGTCTGTTGTCTGTTCACCTCAATGTGAGACAGTATGTATTTTCGTGTCCCGTTCATCTATTTCACCTCTGTACCCTGGTGTATTGTGTGGTATTTACTGAAGTAAAAAAAGAAAAAAAAGAAAAATATGTTTGTTAAAAGAGGTGGGCGACATACTTGTCAATGGGCTCAGAATGACACTAAAGGAGTGGAAAGAAAAATAAAACATGTTGTATGTTGAATTTAAATCGCCTAATGTTGTTTATATTTCTCGGCAAGCCTTAATGCCTCATAAGAAACTGTTTCCATGAACAATCCCAACACATGCACTTTCACAAGATTTAAAACGAGACCAAAAGAATAACAATTAGACTTCATACTTTTCCTTTACCACCATAAACTAATTGAAATGAGAGCTTTGCAAATGCATAGGGACACACTGTACTCCTGCAGGGCGCTAGAGTCATCCAATATGATGTAACACTGGCTAAGTCACAGCACTTATGTCACACTCACACACAGGGAGCTGCAACCGAATAGAAGTACACACATATACAAAAGCTTTCATGTTCTAATGACCAACATTGGAAAGGAACACGATGTAGCTGGTCACAATGTTCACTAGTCATGAAAATATACTCCCAAGTACAGGCACTAGTTGAAAGAAGAAAAAAAATAGACTAGAGCAGAAAACAAGTTATATAACTGTTCTGATATCAATTGACATTATAAAAAGAATAGCTTGAGGTGCAGGTCATAATCCAATCTTTTCTAACTTCCGCCTCAAGAAATTAAATCTCTTCTTTCTCACCATTTCTCCACTAGATCTTCTCTGATACACATTTTTAAAAAGGTGTTAACGATTACCTGACATTTATTTATTCATTTATTGCTCCTGGAAGACTGCCAGTTTGTTATATCACTTAACCCCGTCTGGCATTAAATAATATGCATGCATGGCGCTTACACAACCGTGCAACCTTCATCTGGAAGTACGTCACCCCTTCTACCATTATTCAACTACAGAGCCATAATTCAAAACAGACATAATCTGTGGACAATACATTCTTTAAAAGGCGTCTAATTTTATTTCAAAATGAAACCTGTGTAGTTGATGATGTCACATGAATAAACAAGCACAAACTGTGCCGCACTACCGGTTGCTACGGTAGCGAGAGCCAAAGCAAGAACAAAAGCAAGGTGACTTTTAGCAAGAGCTGCAGTGCTTTGTTCTCCTCGCTGGTCTTTTTTCACTCGTTTTCCCTGTTTTTTTTTTTTTTTTTACTTGTACGGAGTATGCGCAACCTTATGAAAGCAGGTCAGTGGAAAAGTAGGTCAGTGTGAAGGGGAGGAGAGGGATAAGAGAAGGGGAATTCAGAGAGTGAGGGTTGGGGAGGAGAGAGAGAGAGAGAGAGAGGGTGGAGGTGCAGACACGTCATTCATCCTGCAGAGAGCTTAAAGGGGAGTAAGCAGAACGCTGCATTGTGATCTCATTAATAACCGAACCCCATACAAATTCAATAGTAAACAACAAACACACACACATTATACTGCTGTGTTGTTGAGAAACATCAGAATTATGTAATGCTTTATTGCAGTCCATTCTTTTTAAAGAGAACGCAAGCTATTTGCATAATAACAGATCATATTTCAACTAAATAATACAAACATTTTAGAAGAATTTATCATTTTTGTTCGATTGCTCAAAATTCACTAGAGGCATTAAAGGAGTAGTTCACTTTAAAAAAAAAATGCTGATAATTTACTCACCCCCATGTCATCCAAGATGTCCATGTCTTTCTTTCTTCAGTCGAAAAGAAATTAAGGTTTTTGATGAAAACATTCCACGATTTTCTCTATATAATGGACTTCAATGGGCACCAAACAGTTCAAATGAGAGTTTCAGAGCAGCTTCAAAGGGCTTTAAACGACACCAGGCGATGAATAAGGGTCTTATCTAGCGAAATGATCGATCATTTAAAAAATGAATAAAAAAAAGGTTAAGTTTTATAAGCACAGAGCAAGACGAGCATTTGTTCTGTGATACGCGTTCGTGACTCTCCTGTTCGAACTCGTTCATCAAAATGAACAAATCTTTTTTCGAGTCATGACTCGAGGGGTCCTAGATAAGACCCTTATTCATTGTCTGGTGTCGTTTAAAGCCCTTTGAAGCTGCACTGAAACTCTCATTTGGACCTTGAACCATTCGGTTCCCATTGAAGTCCATTAGATTGAGAAAATCCAGGAGTGTTTTCATCAAAAACCTTCATTTCTTTTCGACTGAAGAAAGAAAGACATGGATATCTTGGATGATATGGGGGTGAGGAAATCAAGGAAAAGCACGGCAAATACAATTGTACAATTATAATTGCTCATAGCAGATCTTTGCAGGTGGAGCTGGGGAAGGTGAAGGGATTCTGGAAGCGTGTTTCAACTGCTACAGCTTTGAGGTTGAGCAGCGAGCTCATTGGCTACTGATACAGGAGGAGCCAATCAGCTGTGCCCTATAGAGAATGATGTTAAGAACCAGCATGTGCCATCTAGAGTTTCATGACAGAACTTTATGTATTTGACAATAATTGTGATTTACCGATAGCCTGACTACGTCAGACTTCCTATTGTGATAATTTTTTGGGCCATATCGCCCAACTATAAATTTAGTATTTGGTTTAGCCGCATGAACTCCAGAGGTTTATGCAAGACCTGATGATCCTTATTTTCTGAGAACAGCAAAGGAAGTCTGAATAAAGAAAATCTGACCTTTTGTACAATGACTCACACACTCACACATTTGATTAGTGACCTAAAAATCCATAATAAAACATTTCTCATTCATTTTAGGGGTTCAATTTGGATTATTTGTTTGAAAAAAAAATTCCTAAAATGTTCTGTCTACTTAATAAAGTTAAAAGTTTAAAAAGAACTTTTGCTGATAATTTACTCACCCCCATGTCATCCAAGATATCCATGTCTTTCTTTCTTCAGTCGAAAAGAAATTAAGGTTTTTGATGAAAACATTCCAGCATTTTTCTCCATATAATGGACTTAAATGGGAACCAAACGGTTCAAGGTCCAAAAGACAGTTTCAGTGCAAACTGCAAACTGTTCAAACGACTTTAAATGATTCCAGACAATGAATAAGGGTCTTATCAAGTGAAACGATCGCCCATTTAAAAAGACAAATAACAAATTTTAAGTTTTAAAAGCACAAATGCTTGCCTTGCTCTGTTCTGTGATGTGCGTTCGTGACTCTCCTGCTCAAACTCGTTCATCAAAATGAGTGAATCTTTTCCAGAGTCAACTCGTTTATTTCCTTTGTTGAATGAACCAAACGACATGAAAAAAGATTCATTCATTTTGATTATTAAACGAGTTTGAGCAGGAGAGTCATGAACGCTCATCACAGTACAGAGTAGGGTTGGGTATCGAGAATCGAGTATCGATTGGAACCGGGACTAACTTTTCGTTTTTCCCGGAATCGTTCAAAAGTAAAAATTTCAATTCCTACTTTCGATATTCACAGTCCGCCGAGCGGAAGAAGAAACCGCTGAACAACACCAACGAAGAAGCGTCTACCGGAAGTGTTGGCATAACCGCGCGAGTCGAACGTGAGTAGCTTACGTCGGTGGTCCAAAGTGTGGCTTCACTTTTCTAAAAATTAACGAAATCTCTGCAAAATGCTAAATTTGTGACAAGTATTTGTGACAGAAGGAGTATTTCCTTCAGAAAGACCGTTGGTTAGCAAGGTTAGCTAAACTTTTTTGACCCTGCCTCTTAAAAGAATCGGAATCGAGAATCGTTAGGAACCGGAATCGAAACAAGGAATCGGAATCGTTCAAATTCAAACGATACCCAACCCTAGTACAGAGCAAGGCGAGCAATTTGTGCTTATAAAACTTAAACTTTGTTTTTTATCTTTTAAAATGGGCGATCGTTTCGCTTGATAAGACTCTTATTCATCGTCTGGAATCGCTTAAAGCCCTTTGAACAGTTTGCAGTTTGCACTGAAAGTGTCTTTTAGACCTTGAACCATTTGGTTCCCAGTAAAGTGCATTATATGGATAAAAATCCTCGAATGTTTTCATCAAAAACCTAAAAAAATTTGACTGAAGAAAGAATGACATGGATATCTTGGATGACATGGGGGCGAGTAAATTATCAGCAAAAGTTTTTTTAAAGTGAACTACTCCTTTAAAGGCTCGAATTCTTTTTGTAATCCCATATTTTCTGAGTGCTCTCAGACTTTCGGGGCCCACTGTATGTATAAAGGAAAGAAGGCGCAGACCAGAAAACAGAAAAGGAAAGCAGAGAAAGGGAAAAGGAAGAGTAAAATGAGGAGGAAAAAGAGACAGAGAGAGGAATGGAGTGGGAAGAGAAGCTGTTTTGTCTCTGAACATCTGCAGGAGCGCTGGGATTCCAGAGCACAACATAACTCTGGTTACGTAACTGAGCTGCCTAAGATGTAGGTCAAAAAAATAGAGAGCGCAAACAAGGGAAGAAGTGTCTGAGCGTGTATGTGTGTCATGTGGACCGGTATTATAACATACGATGATACGCATGCTTATAAGCGGGTGTGCGTCATTAATACCAGTATCACAGGATGTGTATTAATGAGGGTATAATAAGAGCTGGTGAGAGTTTAAAAGAGGCAGTGTGATTCACACAGGCTGAACACTGAAAGGCCAGCAGAATGTAGGTCAGCCAGCCCTGCCCAAACCCCATTCCCTCAGTCCTAAACCGCATGACCCTCTCAATTTTGTTCTCTTATTCGCCCTCAGGTCATTCAACATTCATTTTGTCCTGACAGTTCACTAAATTTTAGCTTACCTCAAGGGCATGCAAGATGTAGGTGTCTTTGTTTCCGCAGTATTTTCAATTTTGATATTTTTAGGTCAAACCGTTCTTGTCTGTCAATCATATAATGCAGGTCTATGGTCACCACGTCAAAGAGCATGCACATAATTGATGGCCTGAGACACAAAACGAGCGGTTTGTGTGAGAAAACGAACAGTATATTTATATAGTTTTTACCTCATGTAACCACAGCCACGTCCAAGTGATCTGAGGGCGTGGGCACTTTGTGGCTGTGGTTAAAAGAGGTAAAAACGATATAAATAATGTTCATTTTCTCAAACAAACTGCTCGTTTCGTGTCTTAGGTCATCAGTGTGTACTTACATTTCCGAGTCATTAAATCATGTTTCATTTGGACTTCTCTGTGCATGCTCTTTGAGGTGGTGACCATAGAC